AGGGAGCATTTTAAGATCTGCTACCACCTGCTGATATGCTTGTTTCCTCACAGTACCATGGCATCTCTGAATAAATTTCAGTGTTTGTTATATCTTGAAATAAAATATTTATACTGAAAAAAACATAAACAGGTGTCTGTGGTTGGTACATGGTATTTTTGTGAAGTGTTTGATGTAGTAAATTCAGCCCATTTTGCCCCCATCTGTTTGTGCAAGATCGGTGTCATCTTTCAACTCAGTGATGCAAAAGGTCGTGATTTTGTCTGTACGAATCTGCAGTGAGACACAAGACTTTTATCAGCTCAGGCAGCACAAGAACAGAGGCTTCTGTTGTAATTAATAATGGATGAAAAGAAACAACATGCAAAATGTGAGCGGCGGGAAATTGACAGAGATGAATAAACAACAAAGACTCTGAAGTTTGTTTTATGGATACTGACAATCAGTGATGCAAGAGCAAGTGATTTTTAATTAATGCACAAGTCTACAACATGCGGCTTCTTCTGAAGCTATTACCAACAGAAACAAACCAAGCAAAAAAAAAATCTGCTTTAAAGAATCTTGTCTTGTGTAGTCGTTGCAAAGGATATAGACTGCATCAGAGAAGCACAGAACAAATTACACATTTGTGTGGGTTTTAAGGACTACAGTGATCCCACACTACCACTCATGGTTTATGTACAATGACTATAATCACTGGAACAAAAAGAATAGACAAATATTAATATTAAAATAATGGTTTTAGATCCTTGAGTTGCAACTGAACATGCATACAGATCTGTCCAGACTGGATGAGTTTGAAAGGAGCTGCATTCTCCAGTGTTTTCTCCTCTATCCATTAGTTTTCTTAACCTTCTTGTCCAATTAAGGCTCACATAATGGGAGCAGCCTATCATAGGTGACATAAGGTGAAGGCAGGTGACAGTCTGGACAGGTTGCCAGTCAATTGCAGGGTTAACACATAGAGACGAGCAGTGATTCCCAGCAGAATTTACAATCTCCAATTAGCCTAACACACATGTCTCTGGACTGTGTGAGGAAGCTGAAGTACTTAATGAGAATTCATGCAGGCACAGGCAGAACATGCAAACTCCACACAGAAAGCCCCAGCTGGCTGGTGGCTTCAAACGTAGGAACTTCAATCCCAGCTTTTATTTGGAAAAAATCTGTTTCCACTTGCTTTAAACATGTATTGACAATTAAAATGCGTATCAAATATTTGTATATCAAAAACAAAAAAGAAATTCAACTGTACCTATTAATTAAACATCAGACAGCTGAATAACACTGAACATATTGAATACCTCTAAAGCTGTTATAATGTCTGCAAAACATACATTCACATTTCATCAGTCAGTTATTTGCTTGCCTTGAATGTTGATTTTTTTCCACAAAACAAAGTTCATGAAACATTAACAAGCTGTGTGAGATCTCCATCTTTTAGATTTTTATAAATATTTACAAATGATCATGTTATTAACTGATAAAACAAATCTGATATTTTTTAAAGACTCAAAGGACAAAATAAAATTATAAACAAACTTTGTTTTCCCAAGAGGCCATGCAGTATTTGCAGGGTTTTGAAATGATATGATAAATATTCCATTTATAAACAGAAGCGGGAATCCAGTCATATTGTCTTTTTTTTTATTACTTCTTGTACGATTGCAAAAGCTTTTCCCATTTATCTATGACACCACTGACCACTATAGAGTCCACTTAACCTTAAAAAATGGCTTTAATATTGCCCACTGAGCCAAAAGAGACTGTGCTGCAGGTCTTGTATGTTATAAAAGATATTAACTTGACCAAAAAACACAAAAACTGTAACTAGAATCTGTTACATCTGAATAAAAAATGTGATAAACCACAGGCAAGAGTCTTTTTATGGTTTTCAGGAAAGCAACAAATTGGCACAGGAAGGAAAGCATATCACCCTAAATGAACTGATAACATTGTTACAAAGGTTACAGCTGAGCAGGAAGTGGTGCTGGAAAGTGATAAAGCAGTCTGTTCCTCCAACTGAACCCTAAAAAGCTTGCAGATATATAAAAAAAATAAAATAAGGACTGATCAAAGTGCCTTTACAGACTATACAGAAGAAAACTGCAAAAAAATACGTGCATGAATCTTCCCTTGTGGTCATTATATCCATATATTCAGGCTCACAGGTAGATATTTCCAATCTTGTGTCCACAATAAAGTGAATAAATATTATAAAGGACATTTCTATTTTCTCTTTGATCTTTTTGACGGGTTACAAGAGCCTCTCCCCTGAGAGACAGCAAGATGTCCCAGCCTATGTCTAGACCCTGGCATGTCTATTGATCTGACAAATATCCTGCATAGTAACCTTGGGTGATTGTGAACCCACATATTTATTAGTGAATGATTTTGCCAAATAAAACCTTAAAATTAAAAAGATAATTTTTGGTTTATTGGTCTGATTTGTTAAGAAATTAACGTCACTAATCGAAGTCATTCAAAACCAATGTGGAAATGGCAGTGAATGAATTCAGCGGCATTCCACCAAACAATCATATTTGATGAGATGGGAAAGTAATTTTAAGAGGACATGTAATCTGTCTGTGTCAGATGAGTCAATCAGTCATTGTATTCAGCTTTGTCATTTTGGTTTTGTGTTGTCAGTGTTAGAAAGCCTCAATAAAGCTGACAGAACTGCTGCAAATCCCAATTGGGATTTTGCTTAATTAAATCACATTCATCAGCCTGCTGTTCATGTCTGATTAAAGCTCACTGTTCTTCAGTCACGGGCCTATTCCTGCCAGTGGCCTAAGAAGTCTGCCTGAGGATAATAAATTTGATTTTCTCTTCTGTCCTTTGCACATCCTACCAAACTGCTGCATGTCTTGGGGAACATGACAAAGGCACAGAGCAGAACATTTATGTTGCTTTGGGATCATTCACAGTCCCTACCATTCAACTCTCCAGAGTCTAAGTTGTTGTACATCTGGCTGAACCTGCCTATTTGCAGCCTATTTCTCTGACCTGTTGCTTGCCTGGGGAGACTTGCCATGGCAGTGGTTAGGGCTCCACTATCGCAGATCAGCGTAAGTGGATTTAAAAGTGATACTGTTGCTTTTATCCCTCATTAAGAATTTAGCATAGCTGCAGATAAGCTGTTTTTTTTTCCTTTTAATCTGGTCCTCAAATATGCTTTTTAGCTAAATGTCCCAGGAGTTTCATTTTTTTTTAAACAATTTGGGAAATGAGCTTTTATATACTTTTTTACTGAGAGTGAGATAAGAACTCTTGATTAGGTAAACAAGACATATTAACTAATTGGTGAGCATGTTTCTTTCTGTAATCAGACTATGAAGGGAAGCCAGCTGCTAGACCCCACTGGTCTACTCAATGTCCAAATCATATATATGAAACATGATCCTGATCTGTGAATGAATTAACAGTTTCAGTACTTTGTTTCAATCCAGCCTCCTCATATGATCGATGTGCAACAGTTTAATCCGCTCTGTAGCGGTATATTATGCTACATAGGGTTTCAGTTGGTTCAAAAGTAAACAGTATTCATTTTAGGCCCATGGCTTGTTAACATAAACTGTAGTGAAGAAAAACTGCCATAAACAGACACAGCAAGATATGAGACTGAGGAGCTCTCAGCTGCTGGTGTCTTTGATTTCAGACGAACAGGAAAATATTTGGGGAAATATGTTTTTTACCTTCTTGACAAGATATACAGTAAAAGACTCTAAAGCTCCTAAGCGTGTCCACTTAGTATAAAGCCACAGCCAGCAGTCTTACGTTAGCTTACATCAGCTTAGCATAAAATAAAGAAATAGCTTCCGTCTGAAGGTCACAAAAACCACCTACTGACACACTTAAAGCTTCCTAATCATCGTGCGATTTCTTATCTGTCTATTTCATGCAAAAAGCTGAATTTTAAAAAAATGACGTATGGTTTTACAAGTGTAGAGCAAGTGATGTCACTGTAACTCAGCGATTCTCTGAACTCTCTACTTTCTATTCTACTTGAGCTTTCTAAACCTGTCTTCAAAATAAGTACACCAGAGAACAAGCAGTGCCTTCTGAGCCGAAAGCACAACATTTGGGCTTAATCTGGAGAGACACACAATTCAGTGGGTATATTTCGGGGGAAATGTTGGGTTCATCAGCAGGTGGGAATGTATGTGTTATGAAGCTCATTATTATTCTGGTCATCACTGCTTTAACAAGGCATGAACATTCTATTTTAATCATGGCTTTCTTTAATCAGGGGAGTTTATAATTGCCTGCCAAAATGCCCAGTCAGTGATCAGGACTAATTAAAAGAGGTAGACCTTGAAAATAGTATTTACTCAAGGTTTAGACCTCATGCTCTTGTGAGAGAAGTGGCAATGCATAAAAATAGGAAGCAATCCGTAGACGTTCTGAATAAAATGAAGGAAGTTTTTGTCAAAAAATAGGTCGTTTGATAAGAGATGGCATGG